TGGTAAATAATATTTATTAGCATTATTTTAAATTTAATTTGAGATAAAATTGTTAACGAATAATTGTTTTTATTCTGAACATAGAGCGCAATCGTGGTTGCACGGTTAGTTGAACAAGGAATACTCGACTATTCTGAAAAGATAGCAACTTATTGGCCAGAATTTGCACAAGGTAACAAAGAAAATGTGACTTTGTATGAACTTATGACACATACCTCTGGTGTAGGATGGATCGATGTTAAACAATTGACTGTTAGCGATTTAGAGAATCTCGATCATTTAGAAAAGATTCTTGCTCGTCAACCTCATAACTTTAATGGAAAACCAACCAGATCTTATCATGCACTTACACGTGGATTTTATTTAAACGCCATAGTTCGTAGAATGGATACTAAACATCGTACAATTGGCCAAATTGTTGCCGAAGAGATTTTACCAACTTATGGGATTGATTTTCATTATAAAACAACTAAGGAACTTTATCCTCGGGTAGCAAATATTTATACATATCCACTACCTAGAGTTTTAGGAAAATTGATATTACCAACATGGATGATCACAAATCCTCTTCATACTTTGTTCAGTCATATGTTCGATTCTAGTACAATAACTTTTAAAACTTTAGTAGGCACATCTCCTGATCAATCACAACCAAAAGATTGGAATAAATTTGAAATGTTGCAATACGAAGGACCAAGCTATAATGGTGTTACAAATTCAAGATCAATGGCTAAATTAGCAGCTATGATGGCTAATGGTGGTCAACCATTACCGGGTTCAAAAGAACCACCATTGTTTAAAAAATCTACATTTGATTTATTAACAAAAATAGATAAGACAGAACACGACTTAGCACTTTATGAAACCATAACAATGGCATATGGTGGAGTTGGCAAGTTTAAGCTCGGTGATTTTGAATTGGGGCTTTGGGGTTGGGGTGGATCGGGTGGAAGTATGTTCCTTTGGAGTCCTGAATATAACGTGGGTTTTGGTTATTGTATGAATGCTTTTCATACATCACTCTTGGGAGATCATAGAAGTTTGGAAATATTGAAGACTATAGAAAATATTATTAAGCAATTGAAAGCTGCGGAGGAAAAATAATAGTCGGGTTGATTATTAAAATGTATAATTCGCTTCATTCATTCATTCATTCATTCATTCATCATTATTCACTCTTTTAAAAATTTCTAACGAATATAAATAGTAACCCATTTATTTTCAAATAAAACCTTCACTTTATGTATTTTAAAGAATTCGTCATTAAAAAACATGTACACTTGACCCTCGTTAATATCAACCCATTTGGATTGGGCAATTATGTTGATATATGCGAGGGTTGATAATATCAGGATAGTTTTTATATACCTTGAGTCTATTTTGTCTAAATAAAATGTTGATATTAATATTAACGAGGTTGATATTAACGGGGGTCAAGTGTAATTTGAAAACCCTTTTTTGATAATAAAAAGCACTGATTTTAAAATTATAATTTTAGATACACTAAAGTGGTAGATACGCGCTTAAGAATGTTGTTAATCGTCGCTACGCTTTAAACTGAGATATTTCTTTAAGAGCCACATCGTGTTTGTAATAATTAGCCTAGACAATTAGCCTGAACGAATTGTGTGAACAAAAATTCTAAAATCGGCTGGTTTGATTGGTCGATTTGGTTGTACAATTTACAAATTCGTGTAACATAATATATAATACATATATACTTTTTGCGAAACAAATATTTTGAAAGGCTAACAGCCTAACGGCCGATAAATAGAAGTCGTGTGAAATCCTGCATTAACTTAGAATTTGAACCACGCTTTAATATTTCTATTTGTGACTTAATCGAGTAATTTATACATTTCAAAAACTCACATCGTTTATCATCGCAAAATCTAAAATATATATGTATCACAAAATCAAAACAACAATCGGGTTTGGGTTTGCAAATTTGCGAATTCTCAAATAAACAATACTATCTTGTATTTAGTATTTATTAATAAAAGAGAACTGGTTTTGTTATGCCACCCCCTATTATACTTGTCTTTATGTTGCAAATTTCATAACAATTTTCAATACGTTCTTTATAGATACTTCTATCAAGTAATGGAATTAGTGATTGGAACCGGTTATCTGAATCGAATTTTATAACCGGTTATATATTACAACCGGTTTGAAAACACCTGACAAAAAATTAGCCGAATGATTCTTCGGCCGATTTGGTTAAGTTATTGATTTTGGCATAATAGATTCAATATGAAATTTAAGATCAGGTGACTAATATAAAATCCTATAAAATTTTCGTTCGAAATGGTGTCGATTTTCCGAACAGAGGTTTATTCTTATACTGTTTTCATTACGTTAAAATAATGTTAATTAAATGCTTATCGTATAAAAAATGTATAATATCCACAAAAAAATCGGATGATTTTTTTTTTTATAGGGAATATTATAAGACTACATACGCATATCTACTTTTAAGGCATCTTTGTTGGCAAATGAAAAAAAAAAACTTTAGAAGGCTTATCGTTATTAATTCAAAAATTGTTAAACACTTAGGTGTTGGCAGATCTTTTACAAATCGAGCTCTCAAGCACTTAAAAGGAATGGATGTATTAAAAAACTATTGTAATTCATTTTCGACAAATGGGGAGTCAATAGAAAGGGACAAATTAGTTTTAATAATTTTTAAATATTAGCATTGATTCATGTAATATATTTAGGGAACTGATACATATACCGTTATTTTTGCTATTCAAACTCCGATTTTGATTAGTAAGCATTCTTATTAATCAAAAGCGGAGTTTGAATATTGGAGCCCCGACATCACGCGATAATTAACTTTTAGGATTTTGACTTCCGGTATAATTAGCGAAAATTGCGCATGAGGGTACAAAATATTGGAGTCCTGACATCACGCGACGCAATAATTAACTTTTAGGATTTTGACTTACGAATAATAAAAATAAAGGTATAAATAATAATGGCTAATATTTATTATAAAATCGGATTATATTCAGAGCCTTTTTTGTATTTCTTGATAGTCTTTTTTAAAATTTCGTACAAACTAAACACACCAAACATGTTAGGTAAGTATTCAAACAAAATTTAATATTGAATGTGTCGATATTATACCAGGAACGTAGTGAAACGAGTATATTGAGTTTTGCGTTCGTACACAAATCTTGGTTTTGATTCGGTATATTAACCTTATGACATTATAATCTATGTACAATTATTGGTTCTCATGACAATGATCTACTTTCTTGTTATTAACTTGCCCTATAAAAAAGATTGTATAATATATATATTTGTATAATACTTGTTTTAAATGTGTGAAAAATGTCTAAAAAAATGCCATTCTGTCTATTCAACACGATTATACGTACAAATTTCACACAATCCTTTTTATAGGGTTGTCCGACAGCGGAGTATAATACACCCGATGCATGTGTTAACAATTCTGAATTTTGTGTTTGTAACATAGATCATTTTCTTAATTTTTAATGTGTTGAGTTTTACTTAAAAATGTATAA